TAGAGGTCAACGTAATGCTTTCATGTTGGGGAAACTTATTTAATGATCTGGTCGAAGGGCATTCTCTGTCAGTCCAATGTTGCTTTTACCCTGTTAACTTCTGTGGAATTACCTTGGCTTTTGCGGAAAGCTTCTGGCTCTTTGGGACTTTGATCTTGAGCCTGATTTTTGCTGCCATTGATTCTTGTTTAACCAGTGCTAAAGGACTATGCTTCATGTTATTTGCCTGTTTTCAATGATAGATGCAACATGTCAGAAGTTGCCATTGGCTCAAATGGTGGTTTTGTAAAAGAACAACCTTCAACTTCTAAGAGGGGGGCACAGGCCATACTTGCGGCTGGAAATTTCTAAAGCCTTGCAGAAACCTCTTTACAGGAGGATCGACAAAAGGAGAGGGAAGAGAACGCTCTCTTCTAAACAAAGCAACAGCTGCCAGATAGACCTTCAAGGATGACAAAGAGAGTCCTGAATCTGACAGAGAAATAAATAAATAAATAAAAATCAAGGAGGAGGGAAGTGGGAGCAGACAGAGGCTGAACCCCATGTATTTATGAAAAAATGCAAAAACAACACCAATTACAAATGTAAGAATGTTTGGTGGCAGGTCTCGGGGCAAGGTCCAAAATGCCCTTTACTGGTTGAGAGAGGGCTGAGGCCGGATCCGGCATGCCATCAACCGCAACTGAGTGATCTGGGAGTACGGGACTGGGCTATTGCCCACAGTCAGCAAGTCCGGTCTGAGTGGCAACTGAATGTAATAGCTGCCTGCAAATTGGAGAAGAGTGGCAAACCATGGCTGGCAGGGCTACCGTGGTGTAATGAGAATGCAATCGACCTGCTCTGCTTGAAGACGAGAGACCACTCTGGACAGCAGTGGCAGTGGTGGAAAGATGTACAGGAGGGCGTTCAAACAGCCTGTCTGGTGGCGGCGAGGAAGACGTGCTCCAAAGAACTGGCACTTCGTGTTGGCGGGAGAGGCAAACAAGTCCACAAGGGGAGTTTGCCATCTGACAAAGAGCTGCCATGCCTGGGAAGGATGAAGGGACCATTAGTGGTCAGTATAAACTGTCTGACTGAGGAAGTCGGCAAGAGAGTTCTTGATGAATGGCACTGATGGTTATAGTTCTGGCTATATACCAGTCCCAGATTCTGATGATGAGGGCAAGCAAAGTGCGAAAGTGCATCCCACCCTATTTGTTGATATAGAATATCGCAATCGTGTTGCTGGCGGTAAGCTGGACAATACTGTCCATGAGCAAATGACAGAAAAGGTGCAATGCCATTTCCATTGCGAGTAACTCCAAATAGTTGATGTGCTCTGTGCCCTCTATGGCTGCCCAAGGACCATGGGTGGTGTGACCCTTGAGGTGAGCTCCCCATCCTGAAAGTGTCTGTTGCTAACATTATTGAGGGTCTCAGAGGATGTAAGAATACGCCCAACACAGATTGGAATGATGAGTCCACTAGTTGAGAGACCTGTGTATGGCTAAAGGGACAATTGCACGTTTGTTGGGCTCATTCTGCATGGAATGGAATGCCTGAAGAAACCAATTCTGGAGGGGCTGAAGGTGCAAACAGGAGAAAGGAGTGGCAGCTGTGGTGAATGCCATGTGTCCCAAAGGGCACTGGACATCCCTAGCATGGATGAATGGCTTCTGCCAAAGTCAAAGAGCTAATGCATGCAGATTCCGAAACCTGTCTTCTAGCAAGTAGGCCCTTGCATGTCAGGAATCCAATATAGCTCCAATGAATTGGGTTGTTTGGATAGGCTGAAGAAGAGATTTTTCCTTGTTGATAATTAGACCAAGCTTCTGCTATAAAGATAGAGTAAACTGAATGTTCCTCTGTAGATACTCACAGAACTGTGCCACCAACAACCAGCCATCAATATTACCCCATGTACCCAAAGATGAGCCAACACCACAGCCATCTCCTTAGTAACACCTGTGGAGCTGTGGAGATACAAAAACAAAGAACTTGAAATGAAAAAGCCCGACAAAATGAAAAAGTGACAAAAATCTACCATCTTGTGGTCTAATCACCACATAAATAGGCATCCTTCAAAGCAATGCTGGATAACAGAGGGAGGATGGTTGGTAATGACATCTGAAATTTGCAATATGCAATATATGCATAAAGTCCTATAAGGTCCAAAACTGGCCAAAGCCCACTGCCTTTCTTGGAAACCAAAAAGTATTTGGGAAAAAGGAAAAAAGAAGGAAACATAGAAGGTTGTAAAGAACCTACTGCTCCTTTCTGAAGCAAAGTAAGTACCTCCTGCCATAACACAGGAGAAGGAGGAGTGGCCCATAGAGTCCCTACTGGTGGCAGTTCGAGGAATTTAATAGCATAAACATGCTCTGAAATCTCCAACACCCATGAGTCAGGAGTGATCTGACGCCATGCGTCTAAAAATGACGTAGTCGAGCTCCAAAAATTGGAGTGGAACGGTTGGAGGCTACTAAATACATGCTAAAAACACTGTTGGCCCTGATTTAGTTCTTTCCCTTTAGTTTGTTGTCGCCCCTGGTAGAAAAATTAAATCACTCAGGTACAGAGGTCCTAGAGTTCTGGCCCTGCTGAGGCCTGAAGGAAACAGGTCACCGGGATTGTGGCGCAGCTGGCTGAGTGTCAGCTGCATTAAGATCACTCTGACCAAAAGGTCATGAGTTCAAAGCCAGCCCGGACTGGAGTGGGTGTCCAGCCATTGTGTAGCCCGTTGTCGACCTTTGCAACCCGAAAGACAGTTGCATCTGTCAAGTAGGAAAATAAGGTACCACCTTGTGTGGGAGGCTAAATTTAACTAATTTATGAAGCCATAAAAGAAAGAAGACTCCGGGGAATGTGGAATGCGGAAGAACTTCATCGGTGTCGTTGATGGACGATGAAAAGCAGCAGCTCCCCTGGCGGCCAGAAAAAAAGTTAAATAGCCTTTGTCTGTTAAATGTTGTTTGTCAAACTGGCATTGAATGTTTGCCATATATGTGTTTACTGTAATCCGCCCTGAGTCCCCTGCGGGGTGAGAAGGGCGGAATATAAGAACTGTAAATAAATAAATAAATAAATAAATGAAGGTTGATGATAATTAAGCTGAGGGGCTGGCCACCAAAATCTAGGCTAGAAAAAGATTGTGTTGAAAAGCCAAACTTAGAAGCAGCCTGTCAAATCTTGTGCATACGTTTGAACTGAGGGTCTGTATCAGGATGAAACAGACTGTTTCCTCCTGCATGGTGGTGGATGGCCGTTGCAGCAGCAAACATCTTGTGTGCTGTATCGGTGCTGTGCTTAGTCATATCTTTCTGATGAGAAGTTAAGGTGGGAGCTTCCTGACAGAAAGCCATTGGGATCTGTTGATGTTGTAGGGGACGGAGCTAAGTTATACCACAAGAGCACCTGATAAGGTGGTATAAGGTGCAAATAAGGTGCTAAGTTATATACCACAAGAGCACCTGATAGGCTGCCATACAAGCACGGTAATGAATCATGCAAGTGAATAGGCTAGCAGTGGTGTGGATCTTCTTATCACAGTGGACTGACTTGAGGTGTCTTAGCTTTCTTGGATTAAACAACTTTGACCACAATAACGTTCAGTTTAGTAGGCTTAACTAACCACTCTGCTGAAGAGGTGCCTATGCAGTAAAGTGCATTTACAAACTTAGAAATTCCAGACACAGAAACAGGAGTTGCCTTTTGTTTTTTTCCAAGCTTAAGCAAGTATGGAAGTGTGGAAAAACTATACTTGGAGCTTGTTTCTGCTGTTGCTCAACTGAGAAAAGCAGATCCTCTACTGGTGTATCAAAAGAAGATATGGAAGGCAACTGAAAGGAATGATCCAGATGAGCAATCAAGGGTGGGGGGGGGGAGGTGACTCATCCCCTATGGAAGCTGGGATGGAAAAGTCCTCCTCAAGAGTAGGAGAAATCTGCTCCTCATAGGAGTCAGAATCTACATCAGACTCATTGACTGGTTGCAGCTGAGAGGAAGCACCAGAATGAGCTTGGGGAAAATCTTATTAACCCCCTGAAAACCAAAAGAAGGGACTCCAAATCCTTGAGAAGGAAAGGAGGGTACAGATGGTGCCTATTCAAAATAGTACCAACCTACCTGTTGAGACATGGGCCAAGTGGCAGATGGGACCCAAAAGACACAGTACTTACATTCTGAGCCGTCACTGAAGCTCCCAGGCGGCAAGATGCAGAGAGAGGATGGTAGTAGGCCCCTCCAAGGATTTATGCTCCATGGGCTGAGCCCCAAAGCCTTGGCTAGCCATCATTCACACAGGCGGCATGGCTGCCTTGAGCCTCCCCTCTCCTGAGGGGGGCAAAAGCATGGCAGGGATCGCTGCAGCGTCCACTGCCTGCTGGGGTAAATGGGGCAGGGAAAGCATGGGCAGTGTGAGCAAGCTGTCCTCCAAAGATAGAAACAGCTGAGAGGCTAGGCTGCAAAGGGGTGGTAGGTTGTTTAAACTTTCTGAGCGAGGGAAACAGAAGAAAAAGAAGGTAAGTTACTGCCCATTGCCAAGGGCAAAGAAGCCTGCACCTCAGAGGACGCGGCACCCTTTTTTTTTTTTGGAGGGAGTGGGTTTGTTCTCCCACTGCCAAGAAACACAAAGGGGATGGGAGTCACCCTGGAGCAACTTCCCCCCCCATAGGCCATACATTTCAAAGTTGAAGAAAATGCTATACTGGCCTGAGTAGGATAAACAAAGGTCCCAGAACACAAGTTGGAATTGCAGTCTGTTAGTCAAACTGGAATCCTTGAGTCAAACCAATAGTTGTTTTAGGAGAGTAGAGAACACCGAGTTGTTGCTGCTTTCGTGGACAGAAGGAACTAAGGCCTCAAGCCCCACTGCCTGGCTTTATTAAATGAAGTGGACGGGCGGAGCTGGAGTCACTGATTTAGCAAAAGCTTTTCAATAAGGATCCGAATCAGCTGCGTGGATGCAGGAAATATGTCAGCTCCAGGCAGATCTCAGAACAAAAGCACACTCACAAGGGAGATTCCTTGGACACACGTTTATTATTTAGTCTTGCCAGGATGAAAACAAAGTTAGATCTGAAGCTTTTCCTGCCAAAGCGGTAGTATTCTACCCACCCGTGTTGCACCCCTCCTTCCTCCCCCCTTATCTTAGTTTATGGCTACATTCCATTCCCAGGGAACAGAGCATCCCTCTCTGGCCAGATGGCCCCTTATCAACTCATAATTCACTTCAAGTTCAGTTTATGTTGACTTTAGCTCGAAGACCAGATCCTGACAAAATACCACAGGTGTGGATTTCACAGTGACCACGCTGAAGAAACTCAGTTGCAGAGATAGCAGGGATAAAAGTGTCAAGTACAGAATTTGAAGCCATGTGAAGTAACATCGGAATTAGCTCAAGATCTTATCTCAGGTTCCTGGATGCTTTGCATTGATTCCTGTATTATTCATGTTGAAGTGCTTTGTTTGATTCATGTTTAAGTACTTTGGGGTTTTTGCCTTCGAAATTCCAGTATTTGTTTCCTGGATTTTCTGTTCCTATCTACTCTTTCTACTTATTTGGATAAACCTTTTACTGTGAATTATTTTTTTTTACTGCTACTGCTTTTAATTACCTTCAATAAACTGCTTGCTATTTTATTCAGCTGTGTGGTGTTTGAAGTCAGAGGGATTCTTGGCCTGGAGTGCAACAGTTATCTGCAAATTTAATAAGTATATCCTGTATTCCATTGTCCAAGATTTGCGGCATCCCATTAGTTAGTTATCTCTCCAGGATGAAGAGGACCCTTTGTTGAGCTCTCTTTGAGTTCGGCCAGTCAACCCATGATAAATTACAAATAATTACTTCACTTTCTCTTTAAGAAGCAAAATATGAACCTTGTTTAAAAGGAAATGTTAGTTTACCATTGGACAGAAATCCTTGAAAGTTACATATAAACTATACATGATGTGGGGGAGTTCTAACTGTATTTTTTAAAAGTTAAAGTAGTTACTAAGCATTTAGGCCTTGTTGATTCCAATGAGAGTAGGGCCAATTAAACAATGGGATCTACTTATATTCTGACTTACCCAAAAAATAATTCCTATGGGTCTGCCCTAACTGACATTAGTGAGCAGTATTCAGACCTTTAAATACAACTGGATCTGGAGAACCAAGTTTTTTAACACGCACACCCGTTTTCCTAAGCCAAATCATGCCCAAGAGGCTATTTCCCCAGACCACAAAAACATGAAGAGATACCTGATCTGTGGAACAACACCACAGATGTAGTCTCAGAAATTAAGGATTTTATTTTTAAACTTTAATGTAATTTACTGTAAACCATTTTGCACCTAAAACACATTTACATAGAAATAAACCTTAGTTGAGATGATCCAATGCCACTAATTTCCACTGCAATCTACACTGAATGAGGTTTTAAAATCATTTAAACTTTGGCAGAATTGCATCCAATAATTCTAAGCAGCACACATCAAAAACTAGTTCAATCTTATCATTTTCTTGCTTGATCTTTAAAAAAAAAAACAACTGAAAAATTACAAAAGTACACAACTCTCAACTAAATGTTTTGGCAAGGAGATCTTCCTGTTGCTTTTGGTGCATGGTTCCAATGCCAACTGCAGGTGCTGGTAAGGCTGGTCTACTCACAAGATGGAGCTGCAATTAAGTAATAAGGTTGATATTACAAACATTTATTTGATCTTAAGATGCTAGCTAATGATAAACTGATATTCCTTCTGACTGCAATCTTGAACGCAAGCTACTTGAACCCCCATTCAAGTCATCATGGGTTAATACCACAATCATATCCATAACCACATGGAAGTTATCACGTATCAAATTCCATTGTTGCAGATTTTAGAACAACAAGCTTAGTCAAAATGTGCTTAACATAGCATCTTTTGTCATTATCTGTAACTAACACTACTATGAAAAAGAGAGACCGAGAGAATCAAGGATGCATGGGCCTACATTTAAAGTATTATAATATACACACTATACCATGATACCATACCAACATCGTGGCTCAAGGTGGGTTAGAGAATAATTAAAAAACATACTCATTGTAAAAAATACCACAAATACACATATTAAAGTGTATTTGATAAAAGATACATATTAAAATGTATTTCTATAAAATATTAAAATATACAGAACAGAGATTAAAGAAAGTTTTTAAAATTCTGAGAGCTCATTTAGGTGTAGGAGCTCTTCTGGCAGGTCATTCCACAGCCTTGGGGTGGCCAATGAGAAGGTCCTCTGGGTGATGGTTGCCAGTCGGATTCTGGTTGGTTGGAGCAGATGACCCACAGAGGACCTAAGTGTGCGGGGTGGATTGTATTGGAGAAGGGGATGCTTTAGGGACCCAAATTAAGTAGGGCCTTAAAAGTCAAAATCAACACTTTGTACTTAGCCTGGAAACTAATTGGCAACCTGTAGATAAGTCAAGAGCCATTCCATTGAGGTGGGAAAGCACTCATGTTGCTTTGGGGGGGGGGAGCAGGGTAGCGATGACAATGGTGACGCCTGTTTCTGCTTCTGCCACCATCATTTCCCTGCCCAGGTATTTTAAAAAGGTCAGAAGCAGTGCCATACAGATGAGAAGGGGCAAGTGCTTCTGTTTTGGTTCTCCTGAGATAGGCTAAGATCTTGTCTTTCACTCACCACTCAGAGGAGGGGTGGTTCCTTTTATGATAAGAACTAAGTATTGCTTTGTTGCTGCGAGACTAATAATAGCTAAAACATGGAAGGAGGAAAAAGAGTTAATTATTAAGGATTGGAGAGATAAATTAGTAGATTATATCCAAATGGCCAAACTGACAAATAGCAGCAGAGGAGGAAATAATGAAGAATTTGTAAAAAAAAAATGGAGGTTGGCAATTGGATATCTCAAAAAGAAGACAAAAGTAGATTTGAAGATTGCCATAAAGGGGATTTAGTGAAAGAAGACATGTGGGTAATTGTGGGTTAGTTATGTGATCCATACAGAGTGGTGTCGGAGGTCATGGGGGCTGGGTTCATGGGTATGGGTTTAGAGGGACAATAAATGTTAAGATATAATAACTGTACAGTCAAAGTTGATTTTTCATATGTTTAACGAGCGCTGACTATACCATTCTGTAAGCTTGCATACACTTTCATATATCTTTTTTTCTTCTTATCTGTTGTTTTTTGTTGTTGTTGTTTTTGTTTTTTGTTTTTTCCCCCTCTGATGTCAGTTTTGTTTCCTGTGTGCACCATAAATCAATAAAATTAATTTAAAAAAAGAACTATTTATTTATTATTTATTTTATTTAGAACATTTTTACCCCGCCCTTCTCAACCCCTAGGGGGACTCTTGGCTTCCAAATGGCAATAATTCAATGCCGCATCATAAAACACAAGATAGCAAATATAACAATTAAAAACATGAACATTAATAAATAAAGATTAAACAGTATACTTACAATCCATTTAGCTATTGCCAGTCTGATGGCTATTTATCCGTTTAACTTATCCAAATCCACTTCCAAGCCTTAGTCAAACATTATCAATTGTCCTTTAACCTAATTGCCCAAAGGCCTGGTCCCACAACTATGTTTTTACCTTCTTTCTAAAGGTGAGGAGGGATGACGATGACCTAATTTCCCCGGGAAGCAAATCCCACAGGTGGGGGGCTACCACCGAGAAGGCCCTGACCCTCGTCCCTGCCATTCGTATTTGAGACAAAGGCGGGGCCGAGAGCAGGGCCTCCCCAGAAGATCTTAAGCTCCGAGGTGGGACGTAGAAGGATATACGTTCGGACAGGTTCGCTGGACCGGAGCCGTATAGGGTTTTATAGGTCAAGACCAGCACTTTGAATTGTGCTCGGAATTGGATCGGCAGCCAGTGGAGCTGACACAACAGGAGGATGGTATGTTCCCTGTATGACGCTCCGATGAGTAATCTAGCTGCCGCCCGTTGGACTAATTGCAGTTTCTGAACAGTCTTCAAAGGCAACCCCACGTAGAGCGCATTGCAGTAAACTATTTGGGATGTGACAAGAGCTAAGGTATAGTAATTGCGCTGACCTGTGGATAAACTGATCTAGATTTTCTTTTGGGGGTGGGGGGTGACTAACATTTCTAGATGTATACATGAGTATATAAGGTAAAAACCAATTTGTTCTTTCTAGTTATGCTTTTCCTTTCTTTTCATGTGGAACAAAAGCTGGTACATGCAGGGTTATCAAGAGGTCTCTGCCAAAAACTCCCAAATTGCTAAACTAGGTTTCTTCTACACTGCCATGTAATCCAGATGATCAAAGCAGATAATCCACATTATCTGCTTTGAACTGGATTATACGGGTCTGCACTGCACATAATCCATTTCAAAGCAGATAATCTGGATTTTATATGGCAATGTAGATGAGGCCCTAGTTTGAGTAAGGTTGCTGAATCACGCTCCTTCAGACAATTACTGTATGACAGAAAGTTTAACCAGAATCAATTCCAGGTATATAAGCTCCTATTTTAGAACTGATCCCAGGAAAGATTTACCTTTAAGGCCAATTGCTTCTCAAATCTTGGGGACACAAATGTCCAGGGCCCCATGTTCTGTGGCTCTTCCTGACTCCAGATATATTCTGCACAAGAAATTAAGGATTTGGGTGAAATCATTACAGGTAGTCTGGTAAATCTGCTGCAATCCGGTTCTTCCTTATTGCATACTGTCAGAACACTACAAAAAATATTCATCCATCACTGTTACCCCATGAAATATATGGTGAAGAAGCACTATATACCCAGCTGGCATTTTCAGATATCAACTAGCCCTTGAAAGAAACAACTAGAGTGGGTGAAAGTGTCTCCAAACTCTTTCAACTCTGAACAGAGTGAAGAGAGGGGCCAGGAAGGCAATTCCATCTTGTCTCCTGCACTGTGCTTATAATATAATATAATATAATATAATATAATATAATATAATATAATATAGTATAGTATAGTATAGTATATTATAGTATAATATATATTGTATATACATATAATATTGATATTATAATGTAATACAATATACTACTATTAATAATAATATGATATTATAATTATATATTTTATATTAAATGTAATATTACCAATAATATTAGAGTATAATGTTATAGTACAATGTAATATATAATATTAATATTGTGCTATGATAATAATATAATATACTAGCTGTCCCCTGCCACGCGTTGCTGTGGCCCAGTTTGTTGATCTGGAAAATAATGAGAAAGTGTTGGTTTCTAATATATGTAATTTCTTTATGTTTGTGGGTAAACAGTATTTCTTGTTCTTTCTTAGCATTTTCATAGTGGAAGGAGGAGAAAAACTTCTTCAGTACACCCTTCATGTTTAGGAACCATGACAATAAGAAAATGTTAGTAGTGTCAAATCTGAGAGCACTATATTAATATATACAAACTACAATACGTTATCAAAACAGCTCCAAGCTCCCATACTTGGGTTTTACAAAACAAGGGTCCACCAACCTTTGGCATTGCTATATTTATTCATTTCTTGCTGCAGGGCTTCTAAGGGGAAAGGGCACAGCTCTTCCACTCTGATTATGGCAGTATCCTGCTTCTTTTCTTCAAGCATCTCCCGGTGTTTTGCCAGAGCATAGTAATGCTTCCCAGAACAAAGAACCACTCTGCTAACACTGCAGGGAAAAAAAAAGATAGGGATGATTTCAAGCATTTTGATCTACAAACGATGTGTTAATATGATGGCAAAGATTGAACAGCATAGTTCCTACCAATGCATATGATCTTATTTCAATTTTACTATGTAACAAGATTTGAAAAAAAATGGCTTTCCTTGTTTGAAAGTGTTATTCCTGTTTAATTGTGTGGTACTTACTTTGAAAATAGTTGTTCTACTTCAGAAACTCCGTTTTTGTGGTTACCAGAAATTACTGTATATACTTGAGTATAAGCCGACCCGAATATAAGCCGAGGCACCTAATTTTACCACAAAAAACTGGAAAAAATGTTTTGACTTGTGTGGGAGGCTAAATTACCTAATAAAGAAAACTCCGGGATGTGGAATGTGGAAGAACTTCATCGGTGTCGTTGATGGACGATGAAAGCAGCAGCTCCCCTGGCGGCCAGAAAAAAGTTAAATAGCCTCTGTGTACTGTCTGTATTCGTTGTCTGTCAAACTGGCATTTAATGTTTGCCATATATGTGTATACTGTAATCCACCCTGAGTCCCTTGCGGGGTGAGAAGGGCGGAATATAAAAACTGTAAAATAAAAATAAATAAATAAATAAATAAGCCAAGGGTGAGAAATGTAGCTGCTACTGGTAACCATCAGGAGGTTAAATGTTTAAGAGTATTTACATAAAACTGTAATTTAAGATAAGACTGTCCAATTCTGATTCAACCAGTATTCTAACCTCCTTCAATGTAAATTTGCTTCTTACCTATTACCTATAATGATAGAATAAAATAATAAATGTAATAACATGCAATAAAAATAATAATAAAGTAAATAATGGAAATTTAATAACAATAGTAATAATAATAAAGTAATAAATGTAATAATAACAACAATAGAGTAAAATAATAAATGTAATAAATATAATACAGTAAAATAATGTAAACGTAATAATAATAGAGTAAAATAATAAAAGTAATAAAAGTAATAAAGTAATGTAAACATAATAATAATAGAGTAAAATAATAAATATAATAAAAATAATACTAATAGCAGTGTAAAATAATAAATAATCTTGACTCGAGTATAAGCCGAGGGGAACTTTTTCAGCCTAAAAAAGGGGCTGAAAATCTAGGCTTATACTCGAGTATATACAGTATGTTGGAATGATTGAGACTCAATGAGATTCATTGAAAAACTAGAGCAAAATCTGCTGCAGGATGTCCCGTAAAAACAAAGTTTTTGCAGTTCAATAAACTTTCTCCATGTTTTTAATGATAGAACCAATTAGGAAATGACATTTATAACCCAGGAACAAAAATTGTGTTACATAGTGTTCTTTTGTCAGGTTATCTGTTTTTGAACAGATAACTGCAATGCAGTGCGCAGAATGATGGATTGGGATCTAGAAAATCTAGTTTAAAGTAAACTATGGAATTCTCTGGTGACCCTGAGGCAGTCAACAGAATTGTGAGGATCAAGCAGGATAGAGCTGAGCAATGCATAATCTGTTGGGTTGACTGGAAAGATATGGGATATAAAAGGAAATAAATAAATACCTAGAATTTTGGCATGGACCCATATTTAATATCCTGGTTGTCCATAGAACTCACTAGATGAGTGGTTCTCAACCTGTGGGCCCCTGGATGTTTTGGCCTTCAACTCCCAGAAAACCTAATAGCTGGTAAACTAGCTGGGAGTTGTAGACCCACAGGTTGAGAAGCACTGCACTAGATAGTCCTAAATACTCTCTTAGGCTGGATCTATGCTGCTTTATATCCCAGGATCTGATCTCAGATTATGTGCTTCGAATTATTATATGGATTATAATATATAAGTCTACACTGCCAAATAATCTGGGATTAGAAGATAACCTGTAAACAGATCCTGAAATATAGGGCAGTGTAGATCCAGCCTCAGCCTAACCTACTTCATAAGATTATTGTGAGATTAAAACATTTATCTGAACTATCTTGGAGATGTCGATATAAGAAACATCAATATTTATTTATTTATTTATTTATTATTTACCGTATTTATATTCCGCCCTTCTCACCCCACAGGGGAGTCAGGGTGGATTACAATGTACTCATATATGGCAAACGTTCAATGCCAAGACACACAACAGATAGAGACGAACAGTCAGAGGCTATTTAACTTTTTCTGGCCGCCAGGGGAGCTGTTGCTTTCATCGTCCATCTGCGACACTGATGAAGTACTTCTGCATTCTCCACATGCTTTTTGCTGGAGTGCTTTGCTGGAGTCTTTTTATGGCCTTGTAATTTTTTGTTAAATTAGCCTCCCCACACTTTAAGGTGGTACCTTATTGCCTAATTTTCCTACTTGACAGATGCAACTGTCTTTTGGGTTGCAAAGGTCTTTTGGGTTGCAAAGCTCACTCCGACTCAGGCTGACTCAGGCTGACTTTGAACTCACGATCTTGTGGTCAGAAGTGATCTGACACTCAGACAGCTGCGCCACAGAAAAAAAATATGTCCATGATCCATTGCCAATGCCTATATTTGGAAATCAATTTACAGAGGGTCTGTTACCTGCACCTACATCCTACCCCCAGGAAGTATACTCCCTATTTTCCAGAAGCATAACAGTTATGGATCACCTCTTTATGGTTAGTTCCATTGGATGAACAATAGGGCAATGGTAAATCTTTGTCTAGTTCCCAGCTGGTATTCCACTTATTCATTAAATACATTTAATAGTATAGTGATAAAGCCAAAATCTAGATCTTTCCCTCCTTATGCATTATGCCCTCACTATATTAAGCCATTGATTAACACTCTATGTTGATATAACTAAAATCCAAAGTAAACACAATGATGATGCTTGTGTTAGGCCAACCAAAAGACACAGAATGCTACTAGATGTGTAACTTCTGCTAATACTTAAATGTTTCATTATGCACTATCATGCTCTTTTACTGTCTGCCAGGTTTCAAAACTGTCTAGATTGCTAAATAGTAAAAACAGCAAGAACACAGCTGCAAGTTACTTTTTAGGATCCACTACGGAATCACCAAGGACTGGTCTAAATGTTGTTCCTGGAGCCATGTCTTGTAAGCTTGATGCAGCAGCCTATAAAATGGATGGGGGAATAAAGGTATGTGCAGTAAGTATATTTCAAGATAGGCAGTCAAACACATTGTCAAAAAGCTTCCGACCTATAGATTTTAAAGGAAATAATGAACTACAAAACATGAAGTGATAAAATGGTTCCATTATCGCAGGTGCTGAGTTTTTCTTTTATAAATATTCATTAATATTAAAACTTGTCACAAAATAAGTCGAATGGGGAAAACTGAGCTGCCATATTAAATTTCTAAAAGTACAAAATTCATCTCTGCCTTATTTACAGCTGTTCTGGAAGAAAATTTTGAACAGTGGGAAGGAGAAGAAACTACATTATTGTTGTTTTTTGAAGTCTTCTGGTGCTGTCATAACTAATTTTGGCAAGAATACACAAGGAAATATTTATTTATCGTGTCAGGAGCAAACCAAACAGTTGTACTGCATTTTTAACAAACAAACAGACAAAACACAAAGTTTACAAGCTTGGTAGTTGATTAAATGTCCTTTGACCAGTAGCTGGCCACTTGGAGTGCCTCTGGTGTTACGATAAGATGGTCCTCCATTGTGCATGTAGCTGGGCTCAGGGTGCATTGCAGGTGGTCTGTAGTTTGCTCTTCTCCACACTCGCATGTCGTGGATTCCACTTTGTAGCCCCATTTATTGAGGTTGGCTCTGTATCTTGTGGTGCCAGAGCGCAGTCTGTTCAGCGCCTTCCAAGTCGCCCAGTCTTCTGTGTGCCCAGGGGGGAGTCTCTCATTTGGTATCAGCCATTGGTTGAGGTTCTGGGTTTGAGCCTGCCACTTTTGGACTTTCCCTTGCTGAGGTGTTCCAGCGAGTGTCTCTGTAGGTCTTAGAAAACTATTTCTTGATTTAAGTCGTTGACGTGCTAGCTGATACCCAAACAGGGGATGAGCTGGAGATGTCTCATTAAGAGCCACATCTACTGTTTTAGTGTGGTGAGATGTATTCCACACTGGACATGCGTACTCAGCAGCAGAGTAGCAAAGCGCAAGGGCAGATGTCTTCACTGTATCTGGTTGTGATCCCCAGGTTGTGCCAGTCAGCTTTTGTATGATATTGTTTGTAGCATCCACAGAAGGAAATGAAATTCATCAAGGCAGACTTCTGTACAACATCAGGTTTAAGTGTACATATACAGAAGTACTCCATATCCCATCTGACACCTCTTTTGCAGTTTGCAAACATTATTGTTTTTGAGACTTCAACTCACAGAATCCCTTCAACCAACAGGGAACTTGGCCCTGTTAACAGGGTAATTCTGGGAACTGTAGTCCTCAAAAGAAACATTTTCAAGGTATTATATTCAACATAGCTCTTCTAGGAATGGGTCAGGCCCCTTTCACACAGCTGTATAAATCCACATTGAACTGGAATATAGGGCAGTGTGGACTCAGATAACCAGTTCTAAGCAGATATTGTGGATTATCTGCCTTGATATTTGGGGTTACAGTAGTGTCTTGATTATCCAATCTTCACCCATCCAACATTCTGTATTATCCAACACAGTCTGCCTCCTGACCGGATCCACAGCTGTTTAAATACATTGCAATGTTTTGGTGCTAAATTCGTAAATACAGTAATTACTATATAATGTTACCATGTATTGAACTGCTTTTTCTATCGATTTGCTGTAAAACATGGTGTTCTGGTGTTTAATTTGTAATATCATAACATTATTTGACATTTAATAGTATTTTCCTTAATCCCTCATTTTCCAAAATGTTCGCTTATTCTGCCAGCCCATTTATGTTGGATAAGCAAGACTCTACTGTATATGGCTGTGTGGAAGGGGCTCCAGACTGAGGAAATGTGAAATTAAAAAAAACTAAAATATAAATTAGTGTCGGGTTTTTTTTTTAAATTAAAAAAATTACTATTTCAATTCTAGGTGCTTATTATAACACACAACTTTAAAGAAATGGAACCTGAGTTTGTTTTTTCACATCATTCCCATCCTTAAGCCGTTTCTTTTATATTGCAAGCCTGACAGCATGGCTGACTACGACCCCTTCTACACTGCTACACGGAACAATGGCTTCAAACTACAAGAAAGGAGATTCCATCTGAACATTAGGAAGAACTTCCTGACTGTTAGAACCGTTCAGCAGTGGAACTCTCTGCCCCAGAGTGTGGTGGAGCCTCCTTCTTTGGAAGCTTTTAAACAGAGGCTGGATGGCCATCTGTCAGGGGTGATTTGAATGCAATATTCCTGCTTCTTGGCAGGGGGTTGGACTGGATGGCCCATGAGGTCTCTTCCAACTCTAGGATTTTATGATTCCTGGAGTTGGAAGAGACCTCATGGGCCATCCAGTCCAACCCCCTGCCAAGAAGCAGGTATTACATTTAAAGCACCCCTGAGATGGCCATCCAGCCTCTGTTTAAAAGCTTCCAAAGAAGGAGCCTCCACCACACTCTGGGGCAGAGAGTTCCACTGCTGAATGACTCTCACAGTCAGGAAGTTCTTCCTCATGTTCAGATGGAATCTCCTCTCTTGTAGTTTGAAGCCATTGTTCGTGTCCTAGTCTCCAGGGAAGCAGAAAACAAGCTTGCTCCCTCCTCCCTGTGACTTCCTTTCACATATTTATACATGGCTATCAGATTATCAAAGCAGGTAATCCACATTATCTGCTTTAAACTGGATTATATGAGTCTACACTGCCATGTAATCCAGTTCAAAGCTGGTAATCTGGATTTTATGTGGCAGTGTAGAAGGGGCTCAACCTTTATTGATCAGGAAGCCATTCTGGGAATCGTTCCAGATCAAGAGTGAGATAAAATTGCTTAAACGTGTGGGAACTATGAGATGAAGTGACAAGCTAGCAGTTCTCATCCTTTTTAGAATACAAGGAATGAAAACAAATGGGGAGAGAAAAAACAAAGCAAGAATATTTTTACGCACAGGCAACCTGAGCAAAGTTTTGGGAGCCGCAACTATTAATGGTTTCCGGAAATTTCTGATCATCTGTCTCCTGAGTGAGTGGAAATACTGCGCTGGGGTAGTGGGGTGTACAACAGACATGTTGATATGGTCACCATCAACTCCCTCTTCTGAGCTGTCACACATCTGTAAAACAAAATATAATGTAAAAAACCTCCCAGCAAACCAAGAAGTCATCAACGAGTTACAGTTGAAGCAGTTGAAGGCATAAACTGAGAAAGGATAGGTTGTTGTAGGTTTTTTTTTGGGCTATATGGCCATGTTCTAGAGGCATTCTCTCCTGACGTTTCGCCTGCATCTATGGCAAGCATGCTCAGAGATAGTGAGGACCTCACTACCTCTGAGGATGCTTGCCATAGATGCAGGCAAAACATCAGGAGAGAATGCCTCTAGAACATGGCCATATAGCCCGAAAAAACCTGCAACAACCCAGTGATTCCAGCCATGAAAGCCTTCGACAATACATCAGAAAGGATACCCTTTGGGGTCACAACTCTTGGAATCTCCCAGTGACCATGCTGCTTGAGGCCCCTTCTACACTGCCATATAATCCAGTTCAAAGCAGATGATCTGAATTATATATGGCAGTGCAGAAGGAGCCTGAGGTAGTTGGGAATTGTACTCCCCAGTAGTTACTTTTCTGAGCTGTAACAAAATCTTGAACATTTTCATGAGGATGAACTAATATGGGATTTCTTTCCTTTTTCAGAGTTCAGAATCTGGAGGAAATTCAGAACAAGAGTATGTCCCAGAGGAACATAATGAATCCTAAACAAGATTGTCATACTCGCTTTTATCAGAACTTGCATATTGGTCTTTTTGTTAACCACTGAAAGAACAACTTCATTGTCACCTCTGATGATACAACATCATCACCTTTATTGAACCAAACTGGCACAGGCAGTAGGTTCCCTGAACTTATTTATTTATCGTGTCAGTATCAACCAGACAATTGTATTACATTTTAAACAATTTTTTAACTAACAGACAAAACAGAGTTTGCAAGCTTGGTAGTTGATTAAATGTCCTTTGACCAGTAGCTGGCCACTTGGAGTGCCTCTGGTGTTACTGCAAGTAGGTCCTCCATTGTGCATGTGGCGGGGCTCAGGTTGCATTGCAGCAGGTGGTCTGTGGTTTGCTCTTCTCCGCACTCGCATGTCATGGATTCCACTTTGTAGCCCCATTTCTTGAGGTTGGCTCTGCATCTCGTGGTGCCAGAGCACAGTCTGTTCAGCGTCTTCCAAGTCGCCCAGTTTTCTGTGTGCCCAGGGGGAAGTCTCTCATTTGATTGAGGCTCTGGGTTTGAGCCTGCCACTTTTGGACTCTCGCTTGCTGGGGTGTACCAGCAAGTGTCTCTGTAGATCTTACAAAATTATTTCTTGATTTAAGTTGTTGACGTGCTGGCTGATACCCAAACAAGGGATGAGCTGGAGATGTCTCTGCCTTGGTCCTTTCACGATTGGCTGCTACTTCCCAGCGGATGTCAGGTGGTGCAATACCGGCTAGACCAGGGGTCCTCAAACTTTTTAAACAGAGGGCCAAGTCACAGTCCCTCAAACTGTTGGAGGGCCGGATTATAATTTGGAAAAAAAAAACATGAATGAATTCCTATGCACACTGCACATATCTTATTTGTAGTGCAAAAAAAAAAACATTTTAAAGCAATACAATAATTAAAATGAAGAACAATTTCAACAAACATAAACTTATTATTATTTCAATGGGAAGTGTGGGCCTGCTTTTGGCCGATGAAATAGGATTGTTGTTGTTGTTGTGTGCTTTCAAGTCGTTTCAGACTTAGGTTGACCCTGAGCGAGGGCCAAGTAAATGACCTTGGAGGGCCATATCCAGCCCCTAGTTTGAGGACTCCTGGGCTAGACAGTGTAATTTCTCCAGTGGTGTAGGGCGCAGACACCCCGTGATAATGTGGCATGTCTCATTAAGAGCTACATCCACTGTTTTAGCGTGGTGAGATGTGTTCCACACTGGGCATGCATACTCAGCAGAAGCGTAGCATAGTGCAAGGGCAGATGAACTAAAGCATATCCTTCCAACACTGCACTGCTGCCTGCTGTATTGGTTACCAGACAAGAAGTTAACCCAGACACAAGACAGGACACAAGACAGAACATCTCATTCTGCACCACTTAAAGTAACATCTTATTCATTGGAACTGCTGTACACTTTCTGAAAGGGCTGATAATTGACATTATATCATTAATAGCCAGTGTGGTAGATCAAATCACATTCAGCCATGAAACTCACCGTATGGCCTTAGAATCATAGAATTCACAAAGCAGGAAAACTGCATTCAAATCACCCCTGACAGATGGCCATCCAGCCTCTGTTTAAAAGCTTCCAAAGCAGGAGCCTCCACCACACTCCGGGGCAGAGAGTTTCACTGCTGAATGGCTCTCACAGTTAGGAAGTTCTTTCTAATGTTCAGATGGAATCTCCTTTCTTGTAGTTTGAAGCCATTGTTCCGTGTCGTAGTCTCCAAGAAAGCAGAAAACAAGTTGCTCCCTCCTCCCTATGACTTCCTCTCACATATTTATACATGGCTACCATATCTCCTCTCAGCCTTCTCTTCTTCAGGCTAAGCATGCCCAGGTTTTTAAGCTGCTCCTCATAGGGCTTGTTCTCCAGACCCTTGATCATTTTAGTCACCCTCCTCTGGACACATTCCAGCTTGTCAATATCTCTCTTCAACTGAGGTGCCCAGAATTGGACTAGGTGTGGTCTAACCAAGGCGGAATAGAAGGGTAGCATTACTTCCCTAGATCTAGACACTATGCTCCTATTGATGCAGGGCAAAATCCCATTGGTTTTTTTTGGCGCCGCATCCCATTGTTGGCTCATGTTTAACTTGTTGTCCACGAGCACTCCAAGATCTTTTTCACACGTACTGCTCTCGAGCCAGGAGTCCCCCATTCTGTATCTTTGCATGTTGTTTTTTTCTGCCTAAGTGGAGTATCTTGCATTTGTCACTGCTGAACTTCATTTTGTTAGTTTTGGCCAATCATTTCTCTAATCTGTTAAGATCGTTTTGAATCCTGCTCCTGTCCTCTGGAGTATTGGCTATCCCTCCCAATTTGGTGTTGTCTGCAAACTTGATGATCATGCCTTCTAACCCTTCATCTAAGTCATTAATAAAGATGTTGAACAGGACCGGGCCCAGGACGGAACTCCTGCGGCACTCCGCTTCTTTCCAAGATGAAGAGGAAGCATTGGTGAGCACTCTCTGGGTTTGTTCACTTAACCAATTACAGATCCACCTAACCATAGTTTTGCCTAGCCAACTCTGAGATTGTGTGCGATTGTTAGCCACCTTGAGTCTCCGTAGGGAGAAAGGTGGGGTATAAATAAAGCTAATAAAAACAACAGTTTGATTAGCTTTATTTATATCCCACCTTTCTCCCCACAGAGACTCAAGGCGGCTAACAATCGCACACGTAGTCAAGTTTAAAAAGCGTTTTGCATGTTAGTTATGAGGCTAAAGCAAGGAAGATGGGCATTTATGTCATCTTGATCTCATTTGAAGAAAAGGGGCAATACAACTAATTGTGATATAAATAATAAATATCTTGACGTATATGACTACCTGCAAGAACCGTTCAATTCGGCAAGAAGAATGCTCTGGACCTGCACCGTCATAGCCATGAGGAAGGAGAATTACAATTCCACTCTGCAAAAGCCATTTTGCTTCCCCTAGAAGCAAATGAAAAGAAGGAACATGGGGGGGGGGGGGGGGGGAGTGATAATTTTAGATGGCAGAATAACACATTTACATTGTCTGTGCATTTCTCTGTAGCATTTCTCTCATTCATGATGGGCTACTTCATTTTTTTAATCTCTCCAAAATATTCCTATGGTGAGGGAAGAAAAACCATTGTGTATGTAGGGACAAAAGCAAAATTTTATTAGTATTCAGTAGTTTCCAAAAAACATAAAGCATTATGCATACAGCCTCAGAAGGACCTCTGAAGCACAACACTGCAATTCACAGCTTTTCAGAAATGCCCATAAGGAAGACTACAATGGTATAACGATCAGCACTGCTGCTCAACCAAATTATAACAAGGCACACCTCCACTACAGACTAGCTCACCAAAATCTAGAGCTCACTAAAATATAGAGAATTGTCAGGATCCAGTTTCCAGGCCCTCAGTTATGGCGCTGAAAACCAGGGTCCTGACCCAGGACATTGATAAGGAACTTGCAGCTGCTGACCTTGGGAGAAAACGGCTAGCAGTTTGGTGGGGATATTGCGCGGGATTTTGGTTTGGCGGGAAATGTATTTTCAAGTGAGGGGTGTGTGTATATAAGGGGTGACCAACTGGCGCCGAGCAATCATGTCTGTGTTTCCAGCAGTAAAGTTTCTCTTTGACACCAGAGCGCATTCCTGTGTTTTCATTGGGAGCTACCGCTGTGAGCTGACAGAATAGTTGTTGAATCAACTAAATATTTAGAAGCTAGGAACTATGACCCACTGGAACGGAAAGGCTTAAAAGGATTCTTTAGTAGATTTTCGCTGCCACCAAATTAAGAGTAAACAGGCTGTGGTATTTGTGAGAGGTTTTTCAGTAACACACTCTGTGTTCCTATAGTGTTCTTAGAGGCTGTGTAAAGTTATCTTGAGTAATGCTTTTACCACAATAATAGTCACACAGAGGCTTGCTTAAGTTAATAACAATAACCAGAACGTTTATTTAACAGGCTTGAAATATTCAGGTACGAAGCATGATGGTTTCATTAAAATACTGGCACATACAAGCTTGTGGTTATGTAGAGTAAAGATCTTAAAACTTCTGGGTACAAGTCTTTAAAAAGGATCAACACAGAAGATTATCACAAGAAATGAATCTCTGAGAGTAACTCCCAAAAATCCCCCATATAGAAAATTAGCCAAATCCCTGAACCCACTTTCCTTAGGGAAAAGAACAGACCACAGCGGGGTCCTGTTTCACTCAGTGTTCTAGCTATCTATTTCAATAGATATTCCTGAATACCACTCCACAGACTTTCCCAAAGTTCTTCCTCACAAATCCAAACTACGCTAGCTAACACCCAAATTTCTTCTCTCTACCCTTCCAAACTCCCAACTCACACCCACCGGACCCTGGCAAAAACTCCAGCCTCAGTTTAAAAGTCACTTTTTTTCCTTCAGACTACTTAGGCTCCGCCCCCATCTCTCTGACCAATCCTAGACCGATACCTTTCCCTCCTATGCTAGAACACGCCCCCTTTAGGCAAACCTAACCTAAGATGGTGTCTCCCTGTCTCCCTTCTCCAAAATGGATGCCGTGGCTTCGCCAGGCCCACTCTCCTAGGCCTAAGCTAGCCTGCCAAGGTAATTACAAATGGCTTACTATGTATTAAACTAAATTAAATAAGACAGCAACATGAAAATAATGAACTTGAAGTGATGAGATAGTAGGAAGAGTAGAGGTTAAAACAAACAAAAACAGTAAGTGTATCTATGTATCTTTAAGTAAGGAACAGGATATAAGCATTTAAATAAAATAATACATATTTTAATATTAGAGACGGGACATTTAAATCTTACCTCCAGAGATAAATGTATCAAATATTATCTGAGCTCCATTAAAAAAATCACCAAACTGTGCCTCCCAAATGGGCAACAAGTTGGGACTTTCAATACTCATTCCATATTCAAAGCCAAGTACTGCTTCTTCCGAGAGGGGACTATTGCTCACCTAACAGAACAAAACATAAAAACTCATAAGTAAAGGTTTTCCCCTTCAGAAAGCACATTTTCTTTCAATATTCAAATGCCATTAGTGTCAATATCCAAATGCCATTAGGTTAATGAACGTTACTGCAGAGATAGATTCGGGTTACAATTCTCAACACAATTACTTGGAAATAAGTTCTATTGAACTCAGTGAGACTTAAATATGAGTTATATAGAGCACTGAGAGAAAGGTGAGGTTATAACTAACCAACTGACCAACAAAATGGGCTGATGAATGGAAACACCTTGGGGTCCCTATTATGTAAATGGGCTTATTACCTATTTTGTTAACGGGCTTAAAACTCTAGACTTTAGCAGGTCCTTATTTGGGTTTGGTGGTTTTTATTAGCACTGATGAAGCCATATGATATGAAAGTTGTGTTTTAGAAAGAAAGAAAAAACCAAAACATCCCAACATGACTCAAACACATCAGTATAATTTTTTGGATGTCTAGTACGAAAGCTACAACATTTATTGATCCAAACTGAGCATTCCTTATCCTGAAGTCTCAAATCCAAAATCCAAGATGGTCTGAATGGATGACTGAGATATTGACACCTTTGTTTTCTGATGGTTCAGTGTACACAAATTCAGTTTCATAGAATTTATTAAAATTTGTCTTGTATAAAATTGCCTTCAAACTATGTGTATAAGATGCATATGAAATAGAAATGAATGTCATGTTTAGATTTGAGACCCACCTCTATGATATCTCATTGCATACTTGTATACCAATACAAGTATTGCAAAATACAAGAAAAAATTCAAAACTTCTCAGGTCTCAAGCATTTGGTATAAGGGATAGTCAACCTATAGTTATTACATGTGTGTATGTGTGTATAATTGAAACCTATGGCATTTTGTAAAGCACGATGCTTTTTAAAAATTAACTTACCTCAAGAAAGCCCTTCTGTTCAGATGACATATGATTCAGAGGAATGTAGGTTTCACCTGTCTCTTGGCAAACCAACATGGCATGCCGCTGGCTGAAAGTTCCTCTACCAACATCTTGCCCGCTCAGACGAATATTGAAACCTTTTTAAAAACAAAATAATAGAACAACTCTATAACAACCCTGCAATGTTTGGTATGTAATTTGAAGCCATTTTGGTGCTCAAGGGGTCAGCCTACTGTGAGAATATCTGGTGCCCGTTCTTCCTATTTTTCATCATTTTTCCTATTATTATCAGGTCATAATTGAATTTGTAGCCTTTCACGTTGCCCTATATGATGAAGGGTGATCAGTCCCCAAATACAGAATGTCACATAGAAAACCCTATTTATTAAAGTTAAGTATCTGAGTCAGGAAGAAAAAAATCCTAATGAGTACAAATTAAAGATAAAGTTTTTAAATAATAATGTTTATTGAAGGTTTTTGATTAGGAATACATTGAGGGTAATAATCATCGACATATCTCCTATTTAACTAAAAATAGGAAAGAGTTCATAAGAGTGGGAAAAGGGGGGGTGAGGTAGGGCGTGGATAAAAGAAAAAAAATATATAATTTTTTTAAAAAGGAGGAAGATATATATATGTATTAAAGGGGATGGGGGAGGAGCGTGTGGGGAGTCGGAAAGTGTGAGAGGGAGTGTTAGTACCCTTAGTTACTGATTTGCCCCGAATAGCATTATTAGTGTTGATTTTGTCTTCAATTAGGTTTCTCTTCTTGTCTGATCTCTTGTATATCTGTTATTGGTTAGCTTCTAGGTATCTCTTGACTGGGGACCAGTCCGTCTTGCTTACCCTGGTCATCGGTTTGGTTTTCATATATTGTGTTAGTACATCCATATTATGTCCATTAGTTTTAGTTTCCATTCTTCTACCGTTGGTATTTCTTTATTTTTCCACTGTCTGGCTAACACCAATCTTGCCGCGGTTGCCATGTGGAAGAGGAGCTTGTCTTTGTTCTTTTCGATTTCGAAGTCTAATATTCCCAATAGGTAGTATTCCGCTTTCATCTCCTTTCTTAAGTTTAATATTTCGCTTACAATTCCGTGAATCTCTATCCAAAATGTTTGAACTTTCTCGCATGTTCACTATAGATGGAAAAAAGTGCCTTTCTTTTCTTGACATTTCCAACAGGCTTCGGAGACATTCTTATAATATTTTGCCAACTTACTAGGTGTAATGTACCATTGGTACATCATTTTAATCCAATTTTCTCTCAAATCATAAGAATTAATCCATTTCAGTTTGATCTTCCAATTTTTCCCTAATCTGTGGTTCCAATTGTTTTGCCGTCCATTTTGATGTGCAGCTCTTTGTTTTGTTTTTCTCAGTCTGCCAACTTAGTAATATTTTGTACAGTTTAGTAATTCCTTTTTTTCCTGACATCATAACCTTTTCCCAATGTTTTTCTCCAGTTTCAAAGCCAACTTTTTATCTTTATTAAAAGCCTCATTAATCTGCCTATGCTGGAACCACAAAATTTCTCCGTATTTATCTCTTCCAGTGTCTTTATTCTATATCCCTTTCTTTCTTTTTTCAGAATATCTTTATACCTAGGCCAATTCTCCCATCCCAGCTCTCTTCTTTGCGTTGCCTCCAAAGAAGAGACCCATAAAGGTGTTTTTTTTTTTGTAAAATTTAGTTTTGTATTTCTCCCATATTTTAATCAATGAAGACCTGATGAAATGATTGCCAAAATTCTTTTCTATTTTTCTTTTAGCATACCATAAATAGGCGTGCCAACCACTTCGCAAATCGTGTCCTTCTAATGCTAACTCTTTTATTCTGCTGAGGTTGGCCCATTCTTTTATCCAAATTAGTCCACATGCGTCATGATATGATTGCAGGTCAGGAAGTCCTAGGCCGCCTCTTTCTTTATTGTCTATAAGATTTGTATATTTTATCCTAGGTTTTTTTCCTGCCCATATAAATTTTATAATTTTTCTGTTCCAGTTCTTGATCTGTGTATTCCTAATTATTGGGATGGCTTGGAATAAGAAGAGGAGCTTGGATAGGACCATCATTTTAATAGCTGAAATTCTGCCTAGTAGCGAGAGGTTTAAATATCTCAATTTGTCCATTGCTTTGCAGATCTCTTTCCATTTAGTTTTGTAGTTATTTTTTAAAAGGTGTGAATTTTTTGCTGTTAAAGTTATGCCTAAGTATTTTATTTTCTCCACTACTTGTATCCCACTGTTTTCTTCTAATAATTTTTGTCTTTCTTTTGTTATATTTTTCGTTAGTATTTTAGTTTTGTTTTTGTTTAAGTTGAAGCCTGCTACCGATCCAAATTCTTCTATTTTGTTTATCCACTTTTCCAAATTTTCTATTGGATCTTCAACCATGCAGATTACATCGTCTGCAAAAGCTCTAAGATTGTAAGAGTATTTTCTAATCCTTGTTCCTTTAAGTGCGTCGTCTTTTCTGACGTTGTTTAGAAGTGTTTCCAATGTCATTATAAATAGCAATGGGGACAAAGGGCAACCTTATCGTGTTCCTTTCTGTATACTTATATTTTCGGTTGTTTGTCCGATTATGTATATATCGTCAACAATTATAACTAATTAAAACAATCAAACAATACAGTCGCAGCAATAAAATCATATTGTGGCCAATGTTCATCGATTCATAAATCCATGATCCATCTAGCATCGTCATTGTCTTTTTCTACTCTGGTTGTTGTCTTTTGTCCAACTGCCAACTTACCCGAAGGTCTGGTCCCACATCCAGGTTTTTAACTTCCTTCTGAAGGAGTGCATTCCACAGGCGAGGGGCCACCACCTGTCCCTCGTCCCCACCAGTCTCACTTGTGATAAAGGTGGGGCCGAGAGCAGGGCCTCCCCAAAAGATCTTAAACTCTGAGGTGGGACGTAGAAGGAGATACGTTCGGACAGGTACGCTGAGCCAGAGCCGTAAAGGGTTTTGTAGGTCAAAACCAGCACTTTGAATTGTGCTCGGAACTGGATCGGCAGCCACTGACACAGCAGGGGGTGGTATGCTCCCCTTATGACGCTCCGATGAGTAATCTAGCCGCCACCCGTTGGACTAATTGAAGTTTCCGAACAGTCTTCAAAGGCAACCCCACATAGAGTGCGTTGCAGTAATCTATTCGGGACATAACAAGAGCGTGGACCACCATGGCCAGATCCGACTTCCCAAGGTACGGGCGCAGCTGGCGCACAAGTTTTAATTGTGCAAAAGCTCTCCCAGCCACCGCTGAGACCTGGGGCTCCAGGCTCAGCGATGAGTCCAGGATCACTCCCAAGCTGCGAACCTGCGTCTTCAGGGGGAGTGTAACCCCGTCTAACACAGGTTGTAACCCTATGCCCTGTTCGGTCTTACGACTGACCAGTAGGACCTCTGTCTTGTATGGATTCAATTTCAATTTGTTAGCTCTCATCCAGTCCGACACAGTGGCCAAGCACCGGTTCAAGGTCTGGACAGCCTCCTTGGTAACAGGTGAGAAGGAGTGACAGATTTGGACATCATCTGCGTAGAGATAACATCTTAGTCCGAAACTCCGGATGATCTCTCCCAGTAGCTTCATGTAGATGTTAAGCAACATCGGGGACAGAATTGATCCCTGAGAGACCCCACACGACAACGGTTGTGAGGCCGAACAGGTGTCGCCCAATAACACCTTCTGGGACCATCCCTCAAGAAAGGACCGGAGCCACTGCAAGGCAGTACCCCCAAGTCCCATATCTATAAGGCGTCCCAGAAGGATACCGTGGTCAACGGTATCGAAGGCCGCTGAGAGGTCCAGCAGAACTAACAGGGACACACACCCCTGTCAAGCTCCCGGCGAAGATCATCTACCAAGGCAACCAAAGCTGTCTCTGATCCATGTCCTGGCCTAAAGCCAGACTGTGCCGGATCTAGATAATCAGTATCTACCAGAAATCCCTGGAGTTGTGTCACCACCACACATTCCACGACTTTGCCCAAGAAAGGTAGATTGGAAACTGGCCGATAGTTGTCGAATCGAGTGGGGTCCAGTGATGGTTTTTTCAACAGCGGTTTTATAACAGCTTGCTTTAAGCTCGCTGGAAACTTTCCTTCCTTTAAGGAGGCATTAACCACCACCTTTACCCACTCAGCCAATCCCCCTCTGGCTTCTTTTATCAGCCAGGATGGGCAGGGGTCTAGGACGCATGTGGTGTGTCTCACTTCTCCAAGGATCCTGTCCAAATCCTCAAGCTGAACCAATTGAAATGAATCCAATAAAACTGGACAAGCAGGTACTCGTGTTACATCCTCAGAGACCGCTATTAACATGTCGTCGATGTCAGACCGGATCAACGCAACTTTATCTGCAAAGAACCGAGAAAATGCTTCACAACGAGCCACCGAGTAGTCAGGGATCTCGCTCTTCGGCGGATTTAATAGTCCTCTGATGACTCGGAATAGTTCGGCTGGACGATTCTTTGCGGATGCAATGTTGGTGGCAAGAAATAATTTCTGTGCTGCCGCTATTGCCATGTCATAGGATCTTAGAAAGGTCTTCAGACATGTTTGGGTTGATTTGGTAGGCCTCTGACGCCACACGCACTCTAGCCTCCTCTTCTCTCGCTTCATCGCTGCCAGCTCCTCAGTAAACCAAGGAGATGGTTTAGCTCGGCTACTCGAGAGGGGGCACCCCGGAGTGATTGTATCAATTGCTCTAGTCATCTCACTGTCCCAGCGAGAGACCAGAGCATCGACAGAGTCACTAGCCAAGGAGGTGGGGAACTCCCCAAGAGCCACCAGGAAGCCATTAGGATCCATAAGTCTCCTGGGGCGGACCATTCTAATGGGTCCATCACCTCTGCGGAGGGTAAGAGGCAGAGTAAGTCTAAACCTGATCAGGTGGTGATTGGTCCATGGCAATGGAGCGATGGTCAGCTCCTCCACCTCGTCACCTTCATCTCATCCCTGACAAAAAACCAAATCCAATGTGTGCCCGGCATTATGGGTGGGACCAGATACTAATTGGGACAGGCCCATGGTTGCCATGGTGGCCATGAAGTCCTGAGCTGCACCTGAAGGGGGGGGGGCTCGGCATGGACAGGTAGGGAGACTGTCGTGGAGTGGGGTGGTCGGTACA